GACCTTGGAGAGCGGCCTCGTTCTCCTCCAGTGCTGTACGTCGACAACAAGGCAACCATTGCCTTGTGTGAGGAGCACAGACTGGAGCACAGGACGAAGCACATTGCTCTACGCTACTTCCTTGCTCGAGAGTTGCAGCAGCGTGGTCAGCTTCGCCTGCGTTTCGTGGCCACTGAGGCCAACACTGCTGATGTGTTCACCAAGGCACTTCCGCCTCGTGACCATCAGCGATTTTGCACTCTGCTAGGCCTTGTGCCCACTGGGCCTCACTTGCTTACCTCTTGACCTTGCTTGTACTGCTGCATATATATATCCTTGCTCTTGCTTGTTTAGCACTGTTATATATATATGCTCTGCTGCATGTGAACTGGCCTTGTGGCCTTGACCTTGTGCTCGGAATTTGTGTGGTATCCTTGAGATCCACCCTGAGCTTGCTTTGCTTTGCTTTGCTTGACTGGTCTTGTGACCCCTTGCTCTCCCCCACTTTGCCTATGGGGGTGTGTCAGATGATTATATTACTGATGCATATATTTAGGCTGTAGTGGGGTAGCCCATAGGGGGTACAACCCAATTAGGGTTGGTACTTGTACTTGTTTCATTTCATAGTGCACTCATTCCTCGCCTCTATCTCATAAAAAACGCCTATACTTTCGGATTGGGTATTTTCGATTACACATATATACTCGTTCCAATAAACACCGAGTGAGTACTCGTCGCATCTAGCAGTTGCACCATATGTAATTCGGTAGTATAACGTTGGAGTTACTGATGGTAGATCTCATGTATGCCTTAGGAGTCACTCGAGCCGGATCGTGATCGAGATCATCCCGAGACCCGATGACCCGATTCCCATGAACTGCGTGCTCTGGCACGCTGACTCGTACGGTACCCATGCCGGTGTCGACGCCCCGTTGCGTAGGTACTCTCTCTTAAATGGTAGTCTACTATTGTCTCGTACAGAAGGTCGGGGTGACGAGATTATTGAAACAATGACTCCCGATGTGCAGGTACTTACGAAACGAGGTGATAAGATGCTGTGCATGGATCATTGATTCGGACGCAGATGCATGGGCTGCGAGCATCCCGCTACGGCAGGTCAAGGTGTGCGCTATTGTCTTGTTTGTACGAGCTCCGAAACAATCGCATCTCTCTTTTTAGCGTCGCGATTTCCACACCGAAACCGCAATCCCATACGGGGCCTTACCACGCCATCATTGACCCTATGTTTTTCCAGATTCCAATGCAGGCCAATGAGAACGTCTGTAGTGTGTTTACGATGCGTGTGATGCACACGTTGGTCGAGGATGGTTTCCACAAACTACCGGCGTGTGAGCTTGTGGAGACGCTACTCAATTGGCGCCGTCAGTACCGTCGCGATTTGAGGAAGTGGTCTGTGTATTTTCGGGCAAAGACGATGGTGGAGGTTGGAGGTGGTGCATGAGGCGGTGAAAAGCTGGTAATGGGCCGGGGACATTCGCATAATGCGGGAACCACAGGGGTGGGTGAGGGGCGGTGCAAAGGGGATTGAGGAGGGTTGAAATGGTGGGTTCGAGGCGAGTCCTGAATGGGAGAATGAGCGGGTGAGCAAATGGGGATGAGGCGGGTAGCAAGGGCAATTGGGGTGGGTAGCAAGGGGGAATGAGGTGGGTATCGAGGGGGAATGAGGCGGGTAGAGAGGGGGAATGAGGCGGGGTGCAAGGGGGAATGAGGCGGGTGGCAAGGGGGAATGAGGCGGATAGCAAGGGGGAATTAGGCGGGAAGCTAGGGGGGATGAGGCGGGTAGCAAGGGGGAATGAGGCGGCGAGCAAGGGGGGATGAGGCGGGTAGCAAGGGGGAATGAGGCTGGAAGCGAGGGGGAATTAGGCGGGAAGCAAGGGGGAATAAGGCGGGTAGCAAGGGGGAATGAGGCGGCGAGCAAGGGGGAATGAGGCGGGTAGCAAGGGGGGAGGAGGTGGTGAACGAGGGCGGATGAGGCGGGTAGCTGAAGGGGATTTGGCAGGTGTATGGGGGGTACGAGGCGGTGTGCGAGGGGGGAAGCGGCGGGTAGCAATGGGGAATGGGGCGGGAAGCAGTAGGGAATGAGGCGGGAAGCAGGAGGGAATGAGGCGGGTAGCAAGGGGGAATGAGGCGGGAAGCGAGGGGGAATGAGGCAGGTAGCAAGGGGGAATGAGGCAGGTAGCAAGGGGGAATGAGGCGGGTAGCAAGGGGGAATGAGGCAGGTAGCAAGGGGGAATGAGGCGGGTAGCAAGGGGTAATGAGGCGGGGTGCAAGGGGGAATGGGGCTAGACGCGAGGGGGAATTAGGCGGGAAGCAAGGGGGAATGAGGCGGGTAGCAAGGGGGAATGAGGCGGCGAGCAAGGGTGGATGAGGCGGGTAGCAAGGGGGGAGGAGGCGGTGAACGAGGGCGGATGAGGCGGGAAGCTGAAGGGGATTTGGCAGGTCTATGGGGGGAACGAGGCGGTGTGCGAAGGGGGAAGCGGCGGGTAGCTATGGGGTGTGGGGCGGGAAGCAGTAGGGAATGAGGTGGGAAGTAGGAGGGAATGAGGCGGGAAGCAGGAGGGAATGAGGTGGGTAAGTGGGAGGAACAAGTTGGTGAGCGAATAACAACGAAGCGAGTAGCATGGGGGGTTGACAACAAGAGCAATAGGGAACTGTCTGTCCCTCCGTCCTGCCAGCTTGACATGCCTACAAGCATGACACAATAAGCAAGGGAGAGGCTTCGAATCAGTCCTGCATGATGAGACAACAAGTGTGGCCAATAGGGGAGTGTTCGTCACTTCCAGTCCTGCATGACTAGAGAACACTACCCATAGGGATGAATTTGTCACTGCCAGTCCAGCTTGACATGTCTACAAACAACACACGATGCGTCAGGGTGATGCTGCAAAACGTGTCAGAATCCCAACCACTAGACCATTGGGAAAAAAGGGCGTGTTCGTGTAGCGGGTCAGTGCGCCCATAACCCCCCAGGCGAACGCGCCTGTAACCCTCTCCAGGATCAATCGGGCATCCACAGTGCAGATCTACTGACAAAACGGTCTTCCTAGTCACTACAACTCTTGTGACCGAACAGCATGTGTTTCTCACCTCCTTTCCAGCATGAAACAAGCACATACAACACAGCAAGCTCTTAGGTCACTGCATACTGGCTGCCCTGTGTATGACATGAGAGCAGACAAGCCCCAGAACGGGAGTTCGTGTCTGGCTCTAGTGATTTTGCACCTCAAATGACATACCGATAGCTCTCGATCCGTGATGAGGCAGTTAGTTGCATCACAACAACATGACAGCAATTAAATAGACCCTACTTACTAATCAATTGATGTATCAGCGTGACTGCTCTACATCAAACTGTTATGGGCATGTTCTGTCAAGGAGGTGTCAGGTTTTACACTGTTATGTTGCATACTTGTCAGTATGCAAATGGGTTTTGTAGACTACACAACCCTTTGATAGTAATTTTTATCATGTCCGTACACCACACTATTGATGCTTTGCAAAGCAGTGTGTCCTTACGTGCCCCGCCCTGCGCCATTCCACCCACCTCGGCGCTATGCGACGTACGCGAATCTCACCGACTTGCGACCCAATCGCAACCACACACAAGTAACTCAAGAGTCTGCGTTTTTATCGCAGGCGTTCCACAACGGCTTCGTGTGGTCTTGTCGCATCGCTGTACAAATTGTTGCGATCGTGCGTCGCCGTTTCTCCGCAGTGGCTATGTGACTCTTGACGTGACGCTTGTGAAGGTTCGTGTGGCACGCGAGGCATTAATTGTAAACAGTATGACCGTGCGGGCAGAGTAAATACACTGGCGCATTTGACCGCCACGTTAAACAAAAGTTATTGTAAACAGTATGACTCTCGCAAACCCAGATACACTGGCGCATTTGACCGCCACGTTAAACAAAAGTTACGCACCTTGCCGATCATTGACGGATACTCAATTAAGCACGCACGCTCCCACTGAATCTTACCAATGCAGTTCATCAATTTTTTTCCTTATACACGTCAACCACCACGCAATTGGTTGTTGGCGGAAACGGGGGACCTGGCTGTCGTGACTCGCAATGTACATCAGACGAGGGAACACTCAAACCCTCATCACCTCCGGGCTCCCCTTGCGTGCCTGCATCTGTGACAATTGTCTGCTCTATGCCCCGCGCCTTTGCCTCGTCCTTGTTTCTGCTCAACCAATGCTTAATGCTCGAAGCCTGTCTGTCAGGTTCCTAAAGGTATACCGACTCGCCACCTCAGAATACTGCATAAATGGAAAGCTAGACATTGTAATGGGTAGTCAGACAATGAAGGGGCCAGATGGGGCCATCGTACTGGCTGATTCGTCTAAATCGCCTGAGGAAAAAATATATGCCGAGTTAGTAACAGCAGATAAGACCGCCGAGATCGTAAACAAGTATCGCAAAAATAATGCGTCGTCGGCGCGAGAAGTAGTCGAGTCTAGACGTGACTCTTCATCCGGTGACGAATCGAACAGTGACTGCAATGTTGAGCCATACGCAAACAAGGGCGTATCATCCCCTCCAAAACCAAGGGATAAGCGTGTGAAGCGCTTGGATGATCTCGTTCCCATAGCCGGCAAGAAAGGTACGTGATTATGGTATCAGATGCTGATTATTCGACGTGTATAAAGTTGTATCACAGCTAGATGCATTAAACGATGCTTGCAGTCATGTCTGATTTTTAGCCTATACTGTCTCTCCAATTGTGTTTTCACAGCAGTGTCAGCGGAGAAGCGTCACAACCGGGGGGGGCGTAAGCACCGTTCAAGAAAAAGAGGCACTCGTCCACATCGTGAGGAAACTACTGCGTCTGAAGGCGACGAGGAGGACAAGGACGGGGGACCTGTCAGCTTAGGTACGCTGTGGGTGTGATCTCGACGGTTTCTAACATTCATGTTACACATTACAACGTCGCCGCATATTGCACAGTATAAGTTAAACTTGCACAGTGTATCTAATGTACCTGTAATGTTCGCCTTCTCATCTGGGTCGGCAGGCAAGCGCGCAGGCCAACGTGGTGGTGGAAAGCGCAACGGCAGCAGGGCTGTGGCGGCAAAGGGAATTCCCTCGGGCAGGCACGCGCAGGATGTGACTGGTGGCGACGAGAAGGAACATGCCGAGCATGAAGTCCACGGTGGTGGAAAGCGCAACGGCGGCAGGGCTGCGGCGGCAAAGGGCAGTCCCTCGGGCAGGCACGCGCAGGATGTGACTGGTGGCGACGAGCAGGAACATGCCGAGCATGAAGTTAGCGGTGGTGGAAAGCGCAACGGCGGCAGGGCTGTGGCGGCAAAGGGCAGTCCCTCGGGCAGGCACGTGCAGGATGTGACTGGTGGCGACGAGCAGGAACATGCCGAGCATGAAGTTAGCGGTGGTGGAAAGCGCAACGGTGGCAGGGCTGCGGCGGCAAAGGGCAGTCCCTTGGGCAGACACGCGCAGGATGTGACTGGTGGCGACGAGCAGGAACATGCCGAGCATTAAGTTAGCGGTGGTGGAAAGCGCAACGGCGGCAGGGCTGCGGCGGCAAAGGGCAGTCCCTCGGGTAGGCATGCGCAGGATGTGACTGCTGGCGACGAGCAGGAACATGCCGAGCATGAATGCCGCTGCGGTAACGATCATGATGAGGATGAGCCAGCAGCAATGACTGATGGGAAAGAGAACGGACGTGAAGTTGTGATTCCTTACGAATGACGCAATGCTGTGGACTCGGCCGGTCGCGACTGTAATGCGAGACAAGCTCGACAAGGCCCGAAACAGTATGTTTCGAGCTCGTCGGGTTCGGAGGAGGAATCCAGCGACAGCGAGTCAGGCAGCTCATCCGGGAGTGAGGAAGTATACGAGGACGAGGAGGAGGAGGAAGAGGAGGAGGATGAGGAGTTGGAGCCGGAGAGCGAGGATGAGGAGAAGGCTCGGCCTTTGAAGAGGAGTGTGCGGAAGCCCAAGAAGGGCAACGGAGAGCGAAAATCGGGGAGGGGACGGGTGAAGAGCTGCAAACTGAGTGTGCGTCGTGCGAAACCACATGGCAAGCGCCAGAGACCTCGATTCGAAGCTAAAATTGTGGGTGTGCGTAGCAAGGCGAGGCGGGAGTTGGATTTTTACGAGTCCATGGGGCTACGATGTCGATCAAGCTCTCATGATCGGAACGCCGCGGACCCGTATTCTGCGTTACGCGAGCCGATGGATTCGGCTGGGAAGGGAGATCCGATGGCTTGGGGGTCAGCGCGGTTTGGCAGGGAAGCGACAGACCCGCCCCCCAAGCATACGGGGGGTCACTCGGTTCATGTGAAAATCGAAGGGGCAACAAAGCGGCACGAACCCTCAGCAGCCAATGACGGTGTGGGAGGAGGTGTGTGGGCAAATGCCTTGGGTGAATGTGGCGGCGGTGTGGAAGGCTCCACGTGGGATGTACGGGAGAGCAGGGGAGATGGAGGAGACGCCAAAATGGATCCGGCGACTAAGGAGGGGAGGGGTGAGAGCATGGGTACACCTGGCGCATCCAGTCGGCCCGATTTGGCTGGCGGCAAGACTGTGGAGCAGCTCATGCGAGAGCTTGCCCAGCGGGATCGCGAAATTGCTGCACTCAAGGCACGGGCAGGTTCCAAAGGACCTGTCAAACCCTGCACCCCTCCGTCCAGGCCTCCTCCTCTAGCGTCTCTGTCGAGCGGCCCATCTGCAGGGGGCCTCGATCCAGGCATGGCGCCAGAAAGCCCAGCGACGGTCGACGTACCGGTCCGTCGAACGCGTGGGATGCCCACACCCAAGCTGCTGAAGGTGAGTATGTTTTAGTGTTACGCAATGGGTGGCATGGGACTCAGTGATAGTTGCAGCTCTCTCTCTCAACCCCAAGTTTCCCCCACCTCTTCCTGCTGGTCAGCGTGTTCGTGGCATTATGTGCAGTGATAGCGGCATGGCCACAGTGGGATAGGCACTCCCAATACGCCTCGCTTCAGGGAGGTGGCGCTGGGGGTACGATACTCTCACACTCTGCCCCACCTCTCCTAGCTCCCCTCTCTATCCCATCCCTCTCCCTCCTCTTCCAGAGCCCCTTCAAACGGTGCTGCTGGTCTCATGCGGGGGCATGCGGCGCAGAGATAGCAGCAGCCCTCGCTGTCAACCCCACGCGCCCAACCCCTTCTATCCGCCGCTCCCCCCTCCCCTCTCTATCCCATCCCTCTCCCTCCTCTTCCAGAGCCCCTCCAGACGGTGCTGCTAGTCTCATGCGGGGGCATGCAGCGCAGAGATAGCAGCAGCCCTCGCTGTCAACCCCACGCGCCCAACCCCTTCTATCCGCCGCTCCCCCCTCCCCTCTCTATCCCATCCCTCTCCCTCCTCTTCCAGAGCCCCTCCAGACGGTGCTGCTAGTCTCATGCGGGGGCATGCGGCGCAGAGATAGCAGCAGCCCTCGCTGTCAACCCCACGCGCCCAACCCCTTCTATCCGCCGCTCCCCCCTCCCCTCTCTATCCCATCCCTCTCCCTCCTCTTCCAGAGCCCCTCCAAACGGTGCTGCTGGTCGCGCGTGTGGCATGCGGCGCAGCGTGTAGCGGGCCGGGCTGCAGAGGGGGTTGTGACTCCTAGTAAGAGTAAAACATGAACAACAACGCTGGGCGTACGGTGCTCTTACACTCTGCCCCCCTCTCCCATATGATTTCACTCGGACGATTTCATCCCCTCTCTCCCCCCTCTCTCTCCCATCACTCCCTTACCTCAACCAGAGCTGCTGTTCATGGTGCTGTTGTTGGTGTGGGTGGCATGCGGCGCAGTGATAGCAACAGCCCTCTCTCTCAACCTCAGAATTCCGCCCTTCATTCGGAGGCATCATTCGATTTTACTTTTCCAATCCACCCGTCATAGGTTCATTTCGTCGTGGGGCGGGACCGGATGTGCCTAGAATGGCCAGACGATGCCATAGACTTCTACCCAACGCTCGAACAGCGCCTGCAGGTTTTGTATCAAGTTATCAGCGAGATGCACATCATCAACATGACGCAGCTGCGAGAGGCTATGGAGGACAAAAACATCGTCGACGTCTTTAAACGCGCTTGGACGTCATGGAAGAACGAGTGTGCCTTCCACCTCAAGCGCAGAGTGCTCGTAACTTTCGGCAAGAAGGTGGAAGGCGTGCGTGCCCGCGATCTTTGGATGGGCACCAAGAAGAAGAAGAAGATGTGGAAAAAATACCAACCGAGTGAGTACTTACTGCTGTTGCTGTTTTACTCCCCCTATCGACATGTCTGTTCATGCACCCCTCGTGCATGCCCCACGATTATGAAGTACATACCATGAAGTGCGGTGAATGAGGCGAGTAGCACGCAACTACATACCATAGCTCCTTGGCCAAGCTTGTAGCGCATGTGCAAACACATTCTCATGACAGCAATACGTTGGTTGTTCTCCCACTCTCCCCTTCTCTCGCCCCCCCTTCAATCTCCCGCCCTCCCCTTCTCTCCCGCCCTACCCTTCTCTCCCGCCCCCCTTTTAATCTCCCGCCCTCCCCTTCTCTCCCGCCCTCCCCTTCTCTACCGCCCTCCCCTTCTCTCCCGCCCTACCCTTCTCGCTCGCCCCCCCTTTAATCTCCCGCCCTCCCCTTCTCTACCGCCCTCCCCTTCTCTCCCGCCCTCACCTTCTCTACCGCCCTCCCCTTCTCTATCACCCTCCCCTTCTCTTTCGCCCTCCTCTCCCGCCCTCCCCTTCTCTCCCGCCCTTCCCGAAATCTCCCGCCCTCCCCTTCTCTCCCTAAACCCCTTCGCTCCCGCCCTCCCCTTCTTTCCCGCCCTCCCGCCCTCCCTCCATTCATTCTATACCGCCCTCCTCTTCATCAATACCCTATGGACAACCCCTAACCATGCCATGCATGATCACGCATGTCACATGCTGCCACGCATTGTCATGCGTGCACGCAGGAAGGAATCAGCGGGTCAGCTCGTGGAGGAACAACAGAGAAGGGCTCCCGTTCGCCAACGGCCAATTTGTAGATGCGGTCCGGGAATCATTTCGGAATCTCTGTGTCGGGCGCCGAGTGTGCGTCAAAGCCTACCACATAGCCTGGTCAATCATGGTGGTAAGACATTATTGCTCAACTGACAGTATGCTCTAGCTTGGCATGCTCTACTAGCGCGCCGGCATGGTATGTGGGGCTATTTGCGCAGCCCGTAAACTCTGCACGCAAGTGTCCACTGAAGTCTCTGTTTCCCCTCCTTCCCATACCTTGCTATGCTTTTTCAGATAGACCAGGGCTTGGCAAAGGTTAAGAAGATTGACTTGAACGTCTCCAACTCCCACCAGAAAAACACTGAATGGATGACGGGTTTGCACCGTGATGTGCGGTGGATCATCAAAGACCACTTTAGACGCCACACCCCCGTGTACAACACAGACGTGCAGGGCTTCAAGTGGGGCGACCGTGGGCTGTATGTTCACGAGTCAGAATTTGAGGCGTTCCAGGGGACGGCCGAGCCTGATGAGGAGAGGAAGGACCTGAAGGAGGAAGAGCAAGAGGTGTACGACAGGGAGGACATGGAGACGGATGACGAGGAGAAGGAGGAGGAGGAGGAGGAGGAGGAGGAGGAGGAGGAGGAGGAGGAGGAGGAGGAGGAGGAGGAGGAGGAGGAAGAGGAGGAGGAGGAGGAGAAACAGTGGGGGCAGGAGCGGAGGCAGAGCAAAAGGCACAAGAGATGCAAAATCAGGGGATGCAAGAGGGATGAGGAAGAGGAGGAGGAAGAGGAGGAGGAGGAGGAGGATGAGAAACGAGGGGGGCAAGGGCTTAGGAAGGGCAGAAGGCAGAAGAGAGGGAAAATCAGGGGAGGCAGGAGGGAAGAGAAAGAGGAAGAGGAGGAGGAAGAGGAGGGACAGGATGATGAGAAACAGAGGGGGCGTGAGCGGAGGAAGGGCAGAACGCACAAGAGAGGCAGAGGCAAGGGAGGCAGGAGGGAAGAGGAAGATGAGGAAGAGGAGGAAGAGGAGGAAGAGGAGGAAGATGATGAGGATGAGGATGAGAAGCAGGGGGGCCAGGGGCGGAGGAAGGGCAAAAGACACAAGAGTGGCAAAAGATGGGGAGGCAATTGGGCCAAGAGGTGGGGTGACAAGACAAGGGGGGCAGCAGATGAGGCATGAGTGGAGTTTACAAAGGGGGGCAGCAGGAGAGGCAGCACATACTTGCGAGGAGACATCAATACGGATGTAGAGGCATTGGTGGAGTCAGCATGGGGGGCAGCAAGAGAGGCAAAAGAGTGGAGTCAGCATGGGGGGCAGCAGGAGAGGCAAAAGAGTGGAGTCAGCATGGGAGGCAGCCCCACGGCAAAAGAGTGGAGTCAGCATGGGGGGCAGGAGAGGCAAAAGAGTGGAGTCAGCATGGGGGGCAGGAGAGGCAAAAGAGTGGAGTTAGCATGGGGGGCAGCAGGAGAGGCAAAAGAGTGGAGTCAGCATGGGGGGCAGCAGGAGATGCAATGTGAGGAGTGTGCAAGGGGGGGCAAAACGCGAGGCAACTGGAGGAGAAAGCAAGGGGGTGCAGCAGAACAGGCATGAGTGGAGAGAGCTAGGGGGACAGCAGAAAAGGAACGAGCGGATAGAGAAAGGGGGGCAGCATTAAAGACGGTAGTGGCGCAAGGGGGGCAGCAGGTTAGGCATGGATGGAGAGGACAAAGCAAGGAGCAGTGAAGGCATGACTGGAGAGCGCCAGGTGCGGAGCAGCTGACGCATGAGAGGGTAGAACATGCGAGGAAGCAGTGGTCGCAGGGGCACGCTCGGCCTAGAGCACGAGAGTTGGGGTGGAGTGGGAGACAGTGTACGGGAGCATGAGAAGCAGGTTGTAGGATGATGCATATCAACCTACCGAGCGGTATGTTTGACTAGTTAGGGTGGGATTAGGATGCTGTTTTATGTGCATGTTTAGGTGTGAATAATTTGCTTTTACCTAAGCTTCTGTTATGTTTATTTTGAATGCAAGGATAAGGCAACTAAACATATTTTTAAACAACATGTAACATCTTGCAAGTCTCTAATCTAAGCTTATTTTAATGAAACTCAAAGTCAATAAAGAGTACATTGCAATGATATCCGATCTCCGAAATTGCTCTGCAGAAACTCGAGCCAAACTTCTTTGGAAAGGAGTGACTGCACTGTACTACCCCGAGTCGATTCAAAAGGAGAAGCCTACGCTAGCTGTTAGCATCATTGCCATACAAGAACGTACGGTACCGTCACGGGGTAGTACAGTGCAGTTAGTGGGAAATGGGACCACATGGGGCAGCCACGGGGATGCAGGGTTCAGGGTTCAGGGGAAATAAGGATTTTATTATTTGGAATAAACGAGGACTTGACGAGTACGACTTTTGAGTCGACTCAAAAGTACTTGTACAAGCGATTGGTAATGAACGACGTGGGAAAAGGGTCAGAAAGAAAATGGTGGTTGTGGAAGGGAAGGGAAATGGCTCCAGTCTTGAAAAATTGCGGGAGCAACAATCAAATAAGCTGGAAAGAGCAGGATCAGGGGGTGCAGAGGAGTGAAAGGAGGGTGCTGGATGGGCATATTGGATAGACAGGGCCTAGTCCAACATTCAGTTGACCTCGTTTGGAACAATGGAAGAGCAGCACTCACAGGTGCGTGAGGTCAGTGAGACTGGCGAGGGATGGAAGGGGCCCGAAAAGATTAATGTTGGTCAGATCACTGCGGGATGGGATGGGAGCACGAACAACAGTGGAGATGGAAAGAGGAGGATAAAATGGAATTATCTCTTGCAATGAAGGCATGCAGCTTGTGGTCCGGCTAGGCATACAAGGGAGGCATGAAAGGAAGGCATGCAAGGGCAGGAAGAGGGTATGGTCAGTAGGGTTGTGGCATGTGAATGCAAAAACGAGATTGAAGGGCAGAGCAGCACGAGGTTGGGGCGAGGCCTTGGCAAATGACGGAAAGGTATGGTAGATGCAATGCAAGATGGATGTAGACTGTAGTGGAGGGGGAAGGGTGGGTGGTGGGTGGGTGGGTGGTGACGCACAGGAGTTGCAGAGTGGAAATACCGGTGATGGAGGCAGGTATGGAGTAACTAAAAAAATTCCAATTAGGCCGAAATTAACGTGGAATCTCTGTCAGCACACGCATGCATGCACGCCCCAGTTCCCTTCCCCAACCAGCTCCCATTCCTCCCCCATCTCCCGTCCACCCCAGTTCCCTTCCCAAATATCCAGTCCCCCCCCATCCCACCCACCCCCCACACCCTTCATCCCATCTTCCCCCTTGTCCGGATTGCAATGCTCTCACACACACACACAATCCAACACGATCAAGAGGAGCAGACAGCGGAAGGGTGACACAGTGAAACACTGTGGGGGAAAGGAGGGGACAGAGGGGGCCAATGAGGAGTAACGACTGAGTACTGAGGGGGCATAGAATCTGCTTTCGAGTCGACACAAAAGGAGAGGACAGAGGGTGTCAAACATTGTATGTTGTGCTTGTTTAGGCTACAGTGGGTTAGCCTATAGTGGGTACTCATTTCTAGGGTTAGGTTTGACCTATTTGTACCCAACTCTCATTCTAGTCATTCATTCTCGTTTCTCATTCTGACATGGTATTACGAGCCTAGGTTTCACCTAGGACCGAAACGTTAGGGCCCACCGTTTCCGCTAACCGCGCCCTCGAGCGCCGCCTTTTCCCGCGCCTCGAGCGCCTCGTTCTTAAGGCCCCTCACGGCCCCTCGCGTCGCCCTCTTAAGGCCCCTTACGGCCCCGCGCTAGCCTCTCATGGCCCCGTGTGGCCCCACGCTAGCCTCTCACGGCCCCCGATCGGCCCCGCGCTAGCCTCGAATGGCCCCGTGCGGCCCCCGCACTAGCCTCTCACGGCCCCCCTTAGGCCCCGCGCTAGCCTTCTAAGGCCCCCGTCGGCCCCTCACTAGCCTCTCACGGCCCCCCGAACGGCCCCGCGCTAGCCCCCTAAGGCCCCCGTCGGCCCCGCGCTAGCCTCTCACGGCCCGCAGAACGGCCTCGCCCTCGCCCTGGACGGCCCCGCGCTCCTCGTGTACGTCGACGACATGGTCTTTGCCACTTCAGACACAGTTGGTCTCGCTCACGTGAAGTCCGAGCTGCAGAAGAGACACACGTGCACAGACCTGGGTGAACTGACAAGCTATCTTGGCTTGCGGATCACCCGGGACAGAGCACGGCGCACCATCACCTTGACTCAGTCACACATGGTGCAGCAGGTCCTTCAGCGCTTCGGCTTCACGTACTCCTCGCCTTAGTCCACTCCTCTGCCTACGGGACACTCGCTCTCAGCTCTGCCTTCGGATGAGTCCGTAGAGCCGAGTGGTCCGTATCCAGAGCTTGTGGGCTGCCTCATGTACCTGATGACCTGCACTCGACCTGACCTTGCATACCCTCTCAGCATCTTAGCACGCTATGTCGCTCCCGGCCATCACCGGAAGGAGCACATGGATGCAGCTAAGAGGGTGTTGCGCTACTTGTGCAGTACGTCGGGCATGGGGCTAGTGCTTGGAGGGCGAGACCGGCCTGTTCTCACTGGGCACTCAGACGCTTCTTGGGCAGACGACCAGGCTACTCAGCGGTCGTCCCAGGGTTACACCTTCAGCCTTGGCTCTGGCTCTGTCTCTTGGCGCTCTACTCGCTCTTCTTCTGTTCTCAGCTCGAGTTGTGAGGCTGAGATCTACGCCACGGCCATGGCTGCCCAGGAGCTTCGCTGGCTCACCTACCTGCTGACTGACCTTGGAGAGCAGCCTTGTTCTCCTCTAGTGCTGTACGTCGACAACAAGGCCACCATTGCCTTGTGTCAGGAGCACAGACTGGAGCACAGGACGAAGCACATTGCTCTGCGCTACTTTCTTGCTCGAGAGCTGCAGCAGCGAGGTCAGCTTTGTCTGCGTTACGTGGCCACTCGGGCCAACACTGCTGACGTGTTCACCAAGGCACTTCAGCCTTGTGACCATCAGCGCTTCTGTACTGTTCTAGGCCTCGTGCCTACTGTCCCTCATTTGCTCACATCTTGACTTTGCTTGTACAGTGATCTCTATATATATATACCTGCATGCTTACTCTTGCTAGGTTGTGATCACTGTATCTCTTGTTCTTTTATAAATCTGCATGTGAACTGGTCTTATGACCGCTTGCTTGTGCTCGGAACTTGTGTGGTATCCTTGAGATCCGCCCTGAGCTTTGCTTTGCTTTGACTGGTCTTGTAACCCCTTGTTCTCCCCCACTTTGCCTATGGGGGTGTGTCAAACATTGTATGTTGTGCTTGTTTAGGCTACAGTGGGTTAGCCTATAGTGGGTACTCATTTCTAGGGTTAGGTTTGACCTATTTGTACCCAACTCTCGTTCTAGTCATTCATTCTCGTTTCTCATTCTGACAGAGGGGGCCAATGAGGAGTAACAACGACGGAGTTCTGAGGGGGCATAGAAACTCCCGGTGCCTTCAACTAGGTTGGCCAAAACGAGGGTTATTCAGCGGGCTGCAACAGGTAACCCCTTTGTGTAAGACTGGAGGCGTTACCCCTGTGCTGCCCCTGGTATCAAACGTCCTTGTTGGCTTGGATCAGGGGGTTAGCTTCGCAGGGACCTCGGAGTTGGGTTACCACAATCAATTTTTCGCTCCACCACAATTTCAGGCGAAAAACGTGGCTAGCTGGATTCGTACCCTAGGCTATGGACACCAATACAACGCCTGTGACATAGACCAGGGCTTAACTGGGAGGCAATTACAGCAACAAGGGCAATTAGGACATGTTAATAAAAGGAGACACACAGCACCCAGCAGAAATCTAGGGTAACGAGAACAGTGAGTGGCGGAACGATTCTCACAGGGCAACGACGAGCCCTTTGGGGCGGCAGGTGAGGCCATCCCATGCAGAGCACGCCGTGGTGGCGTTGCTGTTGTTCGGCCACACGCCCCACGCCGCATTCAGCTGCAGCAGCACCTTCACTGCCGGTACAGGGAATGCAATTGGGAGGGGAGAGTGGGGAGGGAAAGAGGGGAACGGGGGGGGGGGGGGAGCACGTCGTGGTGGCGTTGCTGTTGTTCGGCCACACGCCCCACGCCGAATTCAGCTGCAGCAGCACCTTCACTGCAGGTATAGGGAATGCAATTGGGAGGGGAGAGTGGGGAGGGGAAGAGGGGAAGGTGGGGGGAGCACGTCGCGGTGGCGTTGCTGTTGTTCGGCCACACGCCCAACACCGCATCAGCTGCAGCAGCACCTTCACTGCAGGTACAGGGAATGCAATTGGGAGGGGAGAGTAGGGAGGGGAAGAGGGGGAAGAGGGGGGGAGGGGGGGGGGGGGGGGTGCACGTCGTGGTGGCGTTGCTGTTGCCCGCCCACACGCCCCACGCCGCCTTCAGCTGCAGCAGTGCCTTCACTGCCGGCACAACGTGGAAATGGGAGCACATTTACTGCAGAAAAGAAAGGGCGGGGGCAATGGACGGCACATCTACCTCAGTGTCAGCACGTGC